ACATTAGTTTGTTGAGTTAAGACCAAAGAATATGATAAGCTTGACACTTATTTAACATCTAAGTGTGATTTCAAATGACTTGTACAGACAACAAGAATCCAACACTTCGAACGCATCATAGGTCTGACATCTGAGTGGTTTCTTGTGGTCACTTCCTAGCAATTTAGGTTTCTTCCCCTTCCCCCACCTTTGGGGGTATTTTTGCTTTTAAACCTTAAAATGATTGCTTCTTCTCCAGTTGATCACTACTGCCTGAAGAAGCACATATAGTGCTGAAACATGATTGCGTTCATTTAGCAATTTATAACATTTTTTTGTTATAAGTGTTAATAAATAATACATATATATATAAATAATATATATATATATATATATATATATATATATATATATATATATATATAATGCATACATACTGGTTGAGGGGCCCATTTTTTTATACAAATGGACTCACCCAGTGTATACTTATACTACTGCCAGTGAATACCTGGAGAGCAAGACCGAGGAGTCAAGTCGAGTCGAGTCCAGAGTGACAGTAAAAGGTTGTAGGTAACCGGAAGAGTGAGGGTGAGGTAACAGCGTTGTAGGAGTCACAGTGAGCGAGCACGTAGACTCAGTAAGAAGTCATACAGCAATACTTCAATACCAAAGACTGTATAGATATATTTAGCTACTAACCGTATTCTTGGAACTACTAACCTGCTTTACCAGTTTGTATTATTACATTAATACATTATTTTCATATATTCATTCCTGATGTTTGTTATTTATTGGTACCAGATTTCAAACCGGAATCCACAACATATACATACATGCATATATATATATATATATATATATATATATATATATATATATTACTGTTTTTGTATATATATATATTACTGTTTTTAAACAAACAAATTTCCAATAATCTTTCTTGAATGATCATGCCTGCTCAAAGCGTATCTTAACATAAATAAATGACAATATATATTAAGAAATGGACTAAGTCCAACAATATATTTTCTATTTCTACATTATTTTTATACATACAATTATTTAAGTACATTCTCTGTTTATAATAAATGGTATTAATTACATTTACCAGCCTGGATGTTCAAGAAATTTCAGAGGACACATATTTTCAGGCTGGGATGTTATAGAAACAAGATTTGAATAACAAGATTTCTTGAATATTCAGGCAGTAGATGTTAAGAATTAAATATACTGTAATTAATACTGTTTAATTAAAACAGTACATTTACTCAAACAAGTTGTATCCTTAAAAATAATGAATAAACAGAAAATATATTAAAATATATAATAATAATAATAATAATAATAATAATAATGGCCACTTGTATTCAAGGATACATGTCTACTAGGGTGGCTACCTAATCCCTATTGCAGACTCATGCTCAGGCACATTTGTGTTTGTTCAATACCCACAAAGCCCACTTGTAGTTTATACTGAAACTATGCTGAGCAGACCTTATTTACTGTTTCTGGAAGAGAGTGTGTTATCTAGTATGATTGACAATCTGAACAAGGCTAGCAGGCTCAAACCCTCAGTCACGATGACCAAGGGTTCTGTCTACCAAGTTTCACTCACAAGACTTGGGTCAACCTGGGGTAAGGTTTTCAGCCACTTTCCAAAGATTCTGCATATTGGGATTGCCTCCTCCAGTCCAATAACATCAGGAAGTTACCTTCCTGACAAACTGACCATAGTAAATTTGGACCCATATATATATATATATATATATATATATATATATATATATATATATATATATATTTATGAAGAAATATAGTTTTAAGGTGTGCTATATATATGGGATAAAGTGCTCAATATCAGAGATAGAGTGTATGTAAATATAAAAGTGAACATTGAAGTCAACACTTAGAGGTGACAGTCTGTTTCATGCAAGATGCAATCATCAGGCCTGACGATTGCGTCTAGCATGAAACCATGCAGTCGCCTCTAAGTGTTGACTTCAATGTTCACTTTTATATATATATATTGTTGAGATGTTGTGAGTTTCCCGCGTGTCGGTGTATGAATCAAGACAAACATAGTTGTAGAGGAAAATACTGGTATATTCATAAACGCAATTAACAATAGAGTGATTAATAGAACGAAAGGTTGGTTAGTATGAAACAATATCCAAAGTCTATAGTCCAACGGTATGTACGGGTAAGCTTATCTGGACTGCTCACGCTGACTCTCTCTCTGACGCTCCCCACTCTCTCCAGAGCTGACTTATATAAGAGGACCAGTCCATTACTAGTTAGAAGGTGGGTGCGCCCAACAACTATATATATATATATATATATATATAGTCTGATATAAAATAATTTGACCTACAAAAGACAAAATGTCCCAAATTAAAAACTGTTCAAATAACTGTTTTAAACAACAAATTTTGAACAAATATGATCATTTGAGAAAAACCATTGTTCTTTAAAATAAACAAATTTTATACGTTAATTAATAAAAAATAAATAAATTATCCAAACATCAATAGTACGATTCTGTTAAATACAATCTTCAGGTACTTATAATGGTGATTGGAATGAACAGATCACCATTATAAATAAGTGAAAATTGTATTCAGTATGAAATTCAGAGTCATACTATTGATGTAACGTAATATGTATATTTATTAATATATACTTTATAGCTTTGTCATACCACATTTTGGTTGTAATGTGAATTTTTTTTTTTTTTTTGTAAAATATTATGCATTATTTTTCATTTTTTTACTACACACATTTCTGGTCTCATGACCATCATCAGGTAAAGGGTTGAGATTTCCACATATTATTAAAAATAATTAATTTTTTTCTCCTTTATGCTTTTCGATGTTAAATATTTTTAATATGAGACATTCTCATTTTATGTGTTAGTAATCCAAAATTCCTTCTTGAACTGGCAGTTAAGAGTGTATATTCTGGCAGTATATTTTAATTCAAACAGGTTTCGTTAAATAATTTAGACATTTCATGTTGATTAATTTTCATTGTGATCCTTTCAAATTCACCGGTTAATTTCTTGGTTGGCTTAGAAAACTGATTAAGTAAAATACAAAAATTTTCTTTTGAATATTTTTTTATTTTCCCATGTAATTTCAGTCTCATCTGAAAACATCTTCAGTTGACAGTGAGTATGTATATATGTTTCTGTGAATTTAAAACATATATATATATATACATATATATATATATATAAAACG